TTTACAGTTATTTTGTAATATGGGATGGTTTCAGGAACAAAACAGGTCTCTAGGGCATGAAAATAAATGTTTAGAATAGTTTAAAAATGCTAGAGACTTTGGGAAATGGGGCAGAAAGAGGGGAGATGAAAGAAAGTTTAAAAAAAATATTCAGTCTTGAGCTGGCCAAGTGGCACGTTGGTTGAATTGGTTTGGGATGCCAGCTCTGAGCAGCAGGGCCGCCGGTTCATATCCCACATGAGGGCCAGTGACACTGTGCCCTCTATAGCTAAGATGGTGAACAACAGCTCGACCTGGAGCTGGGCTGCCGTGAGTCGCTGGCAATGGCATAGGATGCAGCCCGATGCAGTGGGCTGCCATAAGCTACTTTGTGTGGCTGGCAGCAAGCGTGAGCAGCCAGCAGCTGGTGTGAACTGCCAAGAGCTGCCATGAGCAGCCATCCATCCGGAGGCCGGCGACTAATCTGCCTCACCTGGGAAGAGCGCAATGATAACACCAACATGGACCAGTGAAGCAACATCCTTTACAAGACTGAAGAACAAAAGACAGCAACTGTTCCCCTTTCCCCAATTCCCCAGTGCTGTTCCCCTCCCCTAATTCCCCAATAAAATCTTAAAAAAAAAAAAAAATTAAGTCTTACCTTTAGAGAAGAGTAAAGAAAATACACTTTTTGGATTCTGCACTCATTTTAGTATTGAAGTTTGGCAACCTTATGGGTTAAATAAGCATTGGTGGGCTACCCTGAGAATATAACCACTATTTAAGAACACTTTATATTAAAAAGTGCCATTTATATAATTCACTAATTAAAAACTTTTGCTATATAATTCATATATTTGCTGATGACTATTTATATACTAAAACCTAAAGTTGGAAAGTAACTTGGTTGTACACATGGATTCCAGAAATAATTATTTATTATATAATGCCTTTAACTGGAAATTTAATAGTTTTCAATTACCAAAAGTTGATAAGCATGAATCATTTGTGGGATACCATTATGAAAAAATATACGTGATACAGAGCTATAGAAGTAATCCATAATAATGATACAATTGATAGCAACATGAAAACAAAGCTGTTATCTACATCTATAGATAAGGGTTGCAGAAAAGGAAGGATTACATAGAAATCTGTGCTACTAACTAAAGCAGCTAGAGAAAATAGTATTGTGACTGGCCACTGGTAGTAACTAATCTCCAAAAATAATACCCAGTTTAAACCCTTTTACCGTGACGGTTGGATATATCTGAATGAATATATCTGAAATTTTTATACATCAAAATAATGTCATTTATACACATAGTTCAAATGTTATTATTAA